TTATATTTGACAAAAAAATTAGAACTTCAAAAACAAAATGTTATAAAAATAAAAATATATGTACTATATTTAACATTTTTCAAAAGTTTAAGGGTAACTTATCAACAGCTAGACTATTTTGAAACAAAATTAATAGTTTATAAATCATTTTAAAAGAAAAAATTATTTTTAAACTATACTAAAATAAATTATATAATTAATATACTATTTATTGAATTTAACCCTTAAAAAATTCATACATGTTGAGTATACGGATAGGTACAAAATAGTATAGACTACATTGGTTTTTTTCGTTGGAGGTTAACTTTACAAACGAAAATCACCGTAAAGAATGACGACTCAGCTCCTAAGAAGGATGAGCATGATACTTTCCTCTGTTTTCTCTCTGCTTCTCCCACTCCGATCCAGGCCACTCTCTTTCCCAGCGATGGCATCGGCTCTGAGATTGCTGAGTTCGTTAAAACAGTCCGGTGTTGATTTTTTTTTTTTGGTTAAATGCTAAATTTGGTCTCTCAACTTTATAGAGTTGCACTTTTTTGGTCCCTCAATTATTTTTTGCACCTGTTTGATCCCTCAACTCCAAGAATTGCACAATTTTGATCTTCCGTCAGTTAACTCATAGCTAGCAGTTAAATATTCTAGAATGGCACCTTTTTAATGACATGTCAATGACAAATCATACAATTAGTTTAGGTGTACATGCCAACTCAGATTTAATTATTATTTTTAATTCTTTGTCATTGTTTCTAGCCATTTTTCCTCTCTTTGTCACTGTTTCTCTTCTCCCCTCCCACTCATCCCCCTTCTTGGCCATGATTGGGTTCGTCATGAACCCAGATATGTTCTGGGTTTGTCGCGAACCTAGATTTGTTCTATGTTCATTGTGACTTTAATATCAAGAATCAATATTGAAACTGAGAAAACATGGATCTGTAATGCAATATTCATCCACATATACTAAAATAAGGATTTGAAAAGGAAACCCAAATACATGCAAATGTGAAATCAACTTATGAGCTACAACTAATACAAACAAGCAAAAGTTATAGTCTTACAGAATACATATTAGTAGGCTCCAAATGCTTGAGAAATGACAATGCAGAAGTTTTGAAAAACTAGTCAATAAGGTTGCAATGAAGAAAAATCTACAGCGAATTTATCAGTATTTTAACACATATTGTTGGAAACAAAAATGATTTTGGGGGAAAAGAATACAGAAATTAGAGAATGTAGTCTGCCTTTACTTTTGCCCAAGTTAGTCTCCATTTTTTATCCTTGTCAAAAACCATGGTAGAAACCTATCTAAAGAACTTAATCAGACATGTTCTTTAAACAATTCTAAAAGGGATGCAAGATGCACAAAAGAAATCAAACATTGGAGTCAACCTAGTTGATAATTGTGTATGAAATGCTAGAGTCAACCAAATACTGCTTAGCATTTCTCTTCCAAACCTAACAGACCTGGGTCCGATGTAACCCAGTAGATGGGTTCCATCGAACCCGAGCTGGGTTCCTCAAACCCAGCATATTTGGGTTTGATGGAACCTAGTTTGTTGGGTTCGAGGAACCTAGCAAACGGGTTCCATCGAACTTGAGCTGGCTTCCCTTGAACCTAGATCAGCTAGGTTTGAGGGAACCCAGTAATACAGAGGAAGAAGAGGAAGAAAGAAAAAGAAAAAAGAAAGGAAGAAGATGGATCAAAAGAGGGGAAGAAGATGGATCAAGAAAGGGAGACAGGGGTATTAAGGTAAATTTGTTGTTTTTTATTATTTTTATTAAAAATATAAATGCTAATCAGATTTGGTTTATGAGTTGGTGTTGACATGTCATCAAAAAAATGTCTAGATCAACACTTTTTAAAGTTGATTTTGCCATGTCATAAAAAAATATAAAAAATGCTACATGAGCGGAGTTAACGGTACAAATTGACAGAAAGACTAATAATGTGTATTTCTTAGAGTTAAGGGATCAAAAAAGTGCAAAAAATTGTTGAGAGACCAAAATGTGTAACTCACTAAAGTTGAGGGACCAAAATTAGCATTTAACCTTTTTTTTCTCAATAAGCAAAATAATGATGGGCTGTGGGTTGGGTTGATTTCTAGCTGAAATTGGCTATTTTTTATTTTTAAAAAAATAAAGAATCATATCAACTATCTAAATAATAATTATTTTATTAATCATTAATTAAATAAAAACTTTTTTTACAATCAAATTAAATTAAATTAATATTTTTAAATATAGCATTAATAAATTTGTGTAGCCACAAATACAATAAATTACTAGTGTAAGCCATAATTAACCATTTCTTTGTAATAGAGTTCATGCTCAAAATCCAGTGGACCTTTCTCAAAAAATGAAATACCAAAGGCACTTGGTAATTGACGTGGCATCACGGATTGGTCCACCATTAAAATAAATAAAGAAATGTCGTATTAACTTTTCTGTGTTTGTCTTTTCCTTTTTTGGTGCCGGAAGCATAACGGCAGCGACGGAGATCAGCGTGAAGAATGGCGACTTAGCTCTTGAGAAGGACGACCAAGATCCTCTCCTCTGCAAACCCTAACCCTACTTCACCGCTAACTGTAGCCATGGCTTTCTCCGCCGCTTCCACTCCGATCCGAGCCACTCTCTTCCCCGGCGATGGCATCGGTCCTGAGATTGCCGAGTCCGTTAAAACGGTTCTTCTCTTTGCCTTTTTCTTCAATTCGTTGTTCTCTTTAGTTATTTTACTGCATCGGATGCTTGATTGGAGCTTGATGTTGAGGGGTTTTTTTTTTTTTTTTT